GAGAAAAGTCTCGAACGAGAAGCTTGCGGCCCTCGTGCGCTATCTTTCAGCTCGCTTGACCTGCATGAGACTTTCTTTTCAGTCCATTGACCTACTACTGTATTCAAAATAGAGAGCTTTCTCTACTATTGAATATAAACATTGAACAGAAGGCTTTAGAGCAGTTGTCCTTTTACTCTTGTCATTCACTAAAATTTCAATTCAACTTCAGACATGTCAGAGCAAACTGAACAAAATTTCCACCCATTTCAAACAAAAACCACACCTTGTGAGCCCCACGTAAGTAAACTCTCGCCTAGTCCCTGTACGGCGTTTTCCCAGTCCCTCTAGGTCAATTCACTTCCGGCCTATTCACTTCGGTGTCGTAACACTTTGGCCGCGCGGAAAAATGAGGCCTAGGGAATAGGCAAAGTAAATTCCATGTATTTTGTATTTGTCTACACCTTGCTTCTGCGAGCGTCAAGTCGGAGTCATTTTGCCGCGATGTTAGGGAGCGACGGCGACAGCCACGAACGTGTCACTTAAAAAGTGAATTTGCGTTCTTTCAATCTCTATTGCGATTACTCCATTCATTACTTTGCCAAATGTAAGCGAACTCTTTTTTAGGTGAATTCCTAAGAACTCCTGTAAGAACCATATTCCAGTTCAGAAAGAGAAAGAAAATTCAGCCGTCGCTTGTTTATGTCCTCCATAAAACGTGAAATAAGGCATTTTCCGTCTGTCTTAGTCGCGCAGTGACGGCAAAGAAATGTACAAAAAAGCGCGATGTACGTGTAGAGTTGTTGTTTTACCTACTAAACCTATTGTTGTTTTGACGTTCTCGTTGTCGCCTTAGTCCTTGTTTTACTTTTGTCGGTGCCAACTCGGCGCCAACCTCGGCGCCGCGTCTTCGGTCTGATACCCAGTCTTCGCCCGTTTTGTATAAGGAGGCTTGGATGCTGAGCGGAAATTAGTTCAGTTTTCTTTCTCGTGTGCATTATTTGTGCTTTCAAAGCGTGATCATTATTAGCGTGTTTTTCTGAGCCGAGAAGAAGGCTAGGCAGTTTCTTAAACTCTTAGAGAACCCTTCTTTTGAGAAAGAATGGGAGATAATGTCGTTGATCCTTTTGAGGATATCGATTCCGAGGAGGAACTTGACAAACCGCCGACACCTGAGATCCATCATGGGGGTGATTCTCCCGAAGCTCCTGCAGCATTTAGCGATATTTCTGACAACGAACGGGAGGAAGCGAGGAAAGACGAAGCCGTGATGAAGCCGCATGAAGAAGCTAGCGAAAAAGCAAGTGAAAATGATGAAAATACTTCTAGCGCACAAGAAGAAAGCAAAATTGAGAGCAGTAAAGTGGAAGTAACACAACAAGAAGGTAGTCCACTTTATGACCAAGAAATTTCTCCTGTTTCGTCAACAGCTGAACAGGAGGAAGAGGACGTAGATGCATCTGAAAAAGGAGATAAGGATGTTCCCATGAACGAAGGAGAACGTTCGGAAATCATCGAAAGAAATTCCACAGGTTTAACGCGAAGTAAACAAGAATCTTCATTAGGTAGTGCGGAAGGGAATGATGAAGCTTCACGTGAAACAACTGTTGCGAGCGAAACAACTGAAGAAAAACGCCAAGAACAAACTTCTGGAAACACAGCTGAGAGACGCCGTAGGATTTCTTCAAGTGCAGGGACCGATGATGATTTAGATATGCCTATTTCTCCTCTTGGACTCGGACTTTCAGGGACAGAATCAGAAATTGTTGATGATATTCTTAAGAGTGACGTTTCTAAACTTCTTCCAGATGTTAAAGAAGATCCCAGAGAAGAGTCAACAGGTATAATGTGTGATTATTACCCCACCATCTCTCACAATTTAGAAGCCATAGTGGCACTCTGGTTGCTCAACTGAGGGAGGCAAATAACTTTTTTGTCTATGGTGACTGTGGTTGACGAGAGGGACACGAAAGTTTGGCCAATTCAAGTGATTTCAAAAAATGTGTGCTTTTAAGCCATTAAGTCCCAATATCAACATGCATATTCCCAACACTGTTCTTCACACGTTTCTTATGGTTCTGCGTGAGAGAATATTGATAGAAGGCTTAAGATTCGAGGACGAATTTTCTCGCATATCCTCTAAATATAGACACCCCAGAAAGCTTCATTGTATTTTTTTCACCACAAGAGTTAGAACGCTTATTTCCGTTGAAGGAGGTGAAGCCCACTCCTGGTCGCTAAATGATAAAATTCCTAACATTTGATAACTTGCTTTCACCACTACTACATTCTTGCTAAAACTCATAGTAGAATGACGATCGCTATCGCATAATTTCCCACCAAACTGACGTTGGTTTGAGTGAGTGCACTACTTAGTATGGGAAAATCTCATTTCCGTAGTTGTCCTTGTCATAGAATCTAAAGCTCTCTGTTATTGTTTAAACATTAAGATACTTCATCATTGGTGATCATTTCACTCATTTTAATGACCTGTATGTTTGATCAGCCAGTATTATTGTTTGAGGAGAAATAATAATAGATGCTGGTTACTACGGGGACGTAAAGGATTGCAGACTTGCGAAGTCTCATGATTTCTGACAGGGGTTTCGTTAAGAATGTTATTGCAGCAGCAGGAGAATAGTGTAATAATGTGCCCTTTTAGAAGTCATCGTTAAAATAGAAAGATCTCAAAATTTGCATTTGCTTCGTAGTAATTTGATACTCTGTCATTTACATACGGTAAACATTGCCAAATTTTTGTTGCAAGAAGGGTTTTGCAGCTTTGTTGGAAAACACCTTTCGTGATCTGCATATTCTTCATACAAGAATAATTCATAATTCTTCATACAAAAGCCAAATTCAGTAATAATTATTGTGTTCTTCATTCAACCAAAATATCACTTTCTAGGTAAAAGAGATGATGAAGAAGAAACCAAAGAAGACAAAGAATCAACCGAGGCTGAACCAACAGTACAGGATGAAGAAGGGTAGGCATTATTAGTCATCACCATTGTCATTCTTATCATTCCACAGGGTTTTTAACAATACTTAAAATGTACCCAGCAAATCCTCTAGGGTAACACACGTATCATAATATTATTGTTTCTTTAACGTCATCAGCTGTGACATAAGCAGCAAAGGTCTATAGTCCTTATTCTCTTCTTTACCATCTTGTTTCTTTTATTTATGTCTTCCAAAGGCTGATTTAGATGGTACGATTTTTGCTAGTGACTATCGTGTGTGACTAGCATATGTCATGACTTCACATCAGATTGTGTCTTGTAAATTAGACCCACAACATCTGTAAGACACATGTGGATGTCATAAGTGAAAATTGTGCGTGTTGGGCACGACAGTTGTAAGCAAAAATCATACTGTCTAAATCAGCCTTTATACTGGTAAGAGTCACAAAATATCATGTTTTGGCCATCACAGAAAATAGTAGGAAATGCTTAAAATCTGAATCTACGATATCCAGGGTGCCCAATGGACAAAAGTAAGTTGCTAGGAGCCATTGGGCACTTTAAGAGCACAGCCTTGAAGTCCACATGTCTACGAGGTCTTGGCAAGGAAAATGTAATACTATGATCACACCTTACAGTGTAATTAATTAATCATTAATCGTCATTTAGGTTTGAATCCGATGAAGAAGCTGGTGATCAACTGATTGCCGATATTTTTGGTGCCAGTGATGAAGAAGAAGAGTTTGTGGTAAGATAATAAACTGTTTTATTAGCTGCTCTTTCCACCGTTAATCAAAGTTATTGCCCAAAATGTTTTTGAATAGAACATGCAAGTTTATTTGTAGATGTGAGGAGCTTTTTCCAAAACATGGTCAGGAGCAATTCAGTACATCGTCTCTTTTTGAGACTATTACTGTTGGGTGACCATGGCCAGTTCCAAGAGAGATGTCCAGTTTGGTGTAAAAACTGTACATATATGTAAAAGACATAAATATGACAGAAGAGCTGCAGGGACCAGCTTTATAATTAGGTACATGACATCTGTTAAAGGGAGGTGTCCACAAGGTTTTTAAAACAACTGGCAGCGGACAGATATCACCATCTACATGTGTGTTGTGTCTTTTGTCAGCCACCCAGCTGCTGGACTACTCCTGAGATTCTAAAAGTAAAAGATGGCAAAATCAGTCACTCACTTCAACAATAGCACAGCAAACTTCAAAACCGTTTTGTCAATGCTGTGTTCAATCACATCTTATAAAGGCCTGTGTTCTTTCCCAAATTGACTACCATCATTTTTCTCCTAACAACATGAATACATCGTCAAGAGAAAAGTATATGAGAAATGACAACAAAAGAGAAAATTTGTTGATCTTTTATTAGATTGTAAATTCTCTCAGTTTGTGTTAGTAAGGAAATGTACAGTAATTTTGTTACAAATAGTTATGCTGAGTCCTGGGACTCATCTTGCGAAAAATCATGAGTCCCAGTCCATAACCAATGAGTCCCAGTTAAAAAAACACAAGGAGCCATGCTTGGACCTTTATGTAACCCTTTAACATCATGGCTAGGCCCAGTTTTTTGCAACTTAATCTACGCCTGGTAGTTTCAGGATGTTGTTTGAACGTTTCAGTGACGAAGTTCCAAGATAAATTTGCAAGTTTACGGCAAGTAAATAGCCCCTATCGCTGAAATAAGTTTCAGACATGTTGTAAAGACATGTATTTGATAAGATTTCTACCGAATCTCACGGTATTTTTCATGTTTTTGTGAATTTCGCAGGGATTTCGCGAATTTACCTGACTTTCGCGGCTCTGCGACCGCGCGAAATATCAGAAGCCCTGGTAACCAGACAGTTAATCTGGAGGCAGATCCCAAAACTCTTTATTTCAGTCTACTGAAATTAAAATATTACAGTCCTTTTATAAAACAAATATGCCTCTTTAAACAACAGCCACAGAAATCACACGAACAGGATATTCTACAAAAAAATCTTCAAATCAATCGTTCTTTGCCTCCTAAAGACGCATGCCATGAATATTATTTTGTGTCTTTGGATATTTTTATGCGTCAGGGATGCAGAATGCAGAGGTGACAAAATCACTTAATGTATGGAAATTAGTCTGGAGAATTGGTACAAGTGTATGTGGTTTTAGGGGCTGAAAGGGTTAAGGGAGAGTCAACTGTAACCCTTAGTGACCAGTGTGTTCTGCGTTTTGATTTAGGGATTTGGACAAGAAGATATTGAGGTGACAAAGAAAAAGAAAGGAGGTAAGAGAGTGTTTGGACTTGTGAACATTGAAATCCCATTCAGCCAATCAGAGTGCATAAAATGCTCTTCCAACTGTTTGGTGCAAAGTGGTCGCAGCGCCAGTCAGACCAACTCAGCTCTCAAAGTTTAGAGAGGGTAAACATTGGTGGCTGTGATGGACATGTAGTTGGGGCTGCATTATGGTTCCAAGAACTATAAGGAGTTGGCTTTTCCATTTTGCTTGAAGGGGGTACTGTGCTAATAAATATTCATATATTATTGTAATATACATCACTATGTTTTATTGTAATCATCCTATGGCGATGTGTGTGTACATGTATGTAACACACACACTACAAGTCATTAAATTATTATTGTTATTTTTATCATTGTTTATAGCTCGGGACAGGAAACATCACTCATTGTCCATGGGATCAGAGGTTGATGATGAAGAGGGGAAGAGTGCTCAGGGTGATGATTTGGAAAAAATGGTTGTACCAAAACCTACCGCTAAAGATAAAGAAGCAGACAGTGATAGTGATGATGATGCTTTTGATAACAAATCTGTGTAAGTAAACAGTTAATTACTGTTTAAAAAACAAGCAGGA